AATTGAGATGATCATGTGATTTTTTATCCTTCCTTTTGCTAATGTTATTTATTACATTGATTGATTTGTAAATATTGAACCATCCTTGTGTTCCTGGAATAAATCCAACTTCACTATGGTGTATGATTCTTTTTATATATTGTTGGATTCAATTTTCTAATATTTTGTTGAGAATTTTTGCATCTCTATGCAGCAAAGATATTGGCCTGTAATTTTCTTCTGTTGCAGTCTTTTTCTGATTTTGATATGAGGGTAATGCTGGTAATCCATCCTTGTAGAATGGATTTGGGAGTGTTCTGTCCCCTTCAATTTTTTAGAATAGGTATTAGCTCTTCTTTATATGTTTGGTAGAATTCCCCTGTGAAGCCATCTGGTCCTGGACTATTATTAGCTGGGAGTTTTCTAAATCACTAATTCAATTTCACTGCTAACAATTGTGTACATCCTCCAGGAGTGGAGTCTCTGTTTCCCCCAGTCCTGTGGCGCTCCTACGATCAAGACCCACTTGCCTTCAAAGCCAAGTATTCTGGGGGCTCCTGCACCTGATGCCAGACCCCCAAGCTGGGGAGCCTGACATGGGGCTCAGAACTCTCACTCTCATGCATGGGAGAACTTCTGCAATATAATTATTCTCCATTTTGTGGGTCACCCACAAAATGGGGTTATGGGGGTATGGGATTTGATTATGTCACAAGTGCACCCCTCCTACTGTCTTGTTGTGATTTCTTCTTTGTCTTTGGATGTAGAATATCTTTTTTGATAGGTTCCAGTATTTTTTATTGTTGGTTGTTCAGCAGTTAGTTGTGATTTTGGTGTTCTTGTGGGAGAAGGTGAACTCAAGTTCTTTTACTCCACCATCTTGTCTTCTCTCCCCATCATATTTCTGGAAGAAAGAGGAGCTGATTTGTTAGGATCCTTTGCTCTAGCTCTGAGGAATTTAGGGCTCAGTTGAAGGGGCCTGAATCATGGGAGGTGGGGCTCACAATGGTTTTAATAGAGAAAAATCTTAGAACACTTGAGTCATCAGATATCACAGGATAGTATAAGCATTCTGAAATAAGGTGACAAACCTGTACTGAAGCAGTTAAGTATTATATTTACATTTCATTGCAGTATAATAACTTCATGTTTCACAACTAAATTAATGTTGTTAATTTGAATTTTATTGCTTTCATAAGTTTGTTTGTATACATTGTTAACTCATTTTGGTTGTAGAATTAAAGCTCTAAGCATAAGGAGTTTATGCTTAGTTTTGTGTTTATACATATTTAACCACCATCATAACAAAAATAATTTGTCAACACCAGAAAGCCTCAAAGATAATTTTTTTCCACTGAAAGGGATTAGTGCACTTCTGAAGTTTGAGAAACACTGGATTTGAGGTATCAGAGGTTGAATGGAGGGAGGAGCAGCAGACCAATGGAAGGAGGTCAGTGTTGATAAATTTGGGGAAAACTCCAGACTTAGATGCTGAACTTATGCCACATCATTTTAACTTGTGCCAAGTACATAAGAAATAAAAATCAATGTTCTCTTTTTATAACTAGCTCACAAAATTACAGAGACTGCTAACTGAGATATTCTATGTTTTTCCTTTTGACAATATTAAAAAGTTTATAAACACACTCTTGCCTTGCGTAAACTGCAATGTGGAAAGAATGATTATTCAAGGAAGATAGCTTCAATTTTGATCACAATTGAAGACATCAGAATCAGAGATAGAATTGGGTATGTTTTCAGGTGACTTTGACAATTTATTGTGTCACACTTTACAAACAAATCACCCCTTGTGATTTTAGAGGTAGTATAATGGCCTCACAGGCTGAAGAACATGCTCCCTTTATCTGACATGCTCCCATTCTTTTCGGGTTTTGTTACTTTACTTCTCCGTTGTACTGATTTGCTTGAAGAATCGTTGAGACTTCACTGCTCTATATACCAAAGGAGCTGGAAAACCTTCCACTTCCAGCCATAATCCTTTGCCTCTTTTTTCTTTTATTATCTTCCCTTGGAGAGTGTTTTGGGCTGGTGGTCAGTGAAGTACAAGCGTAAAATTGATCATAAGCTGGTCATGGTTTCAATGGTTGATGTGGAAGAGCCCAGTCCTTCCTACCGAACCCATCTCTCTCCATTGCCTGAGAGGGGAGATCCCTGGAATGACTGATTCCTCCAGCTCCAGAAGAGTTGTAGATTATACTCTTCCCTGGGCTGCAGGACAAAAGAATGTGGAAGAGTAATTAGGTATCAGATAGCATTTCTTAGCTTCCTGGGAAGAAGAGACTTCCTTTTAACCTGTGTACCATGGAGATGATGGGCCCCTCTCCAGCAACAGCCTGGACATCTACATTGCCATAAAGACAGCCAAGCCACAATTTCTTAGGTTTAATCTAAGCTCTAATGAAGCAACACTGGTTTTGAAGACTGAAGAGAAAAAACCCTGAAAGAAAGAGAAGGGGATTTCTGAGGAGAGAGTTTTGGAGAGTGTTTGCAGTACATTGGGAAGTTTTTTGTCCTTTCTCCCTTTAGGAGGCAGTAAGATGATCACTTGTTTCGTGTGTCTTCATGGAATTTGGGGCCATCTGAAGATTTATGTTGTATTGCATCTCTAAAAAGACCCAATAAAAATACAAGCAATAAATCAGACAAAAATTTTACTACATCATTAGGATGGCCCTCAGCTAATTAGGCTCACTCCTTCAAAAAAGTTTGATGACTCAGTTTACATTTTAGATACAACTTTTTGGAAAGAAACATTCTTTGCTACTTAATTTGACATAACTATCACGAAGTCTTAATGAAAAGAAAACAGTTTATGAAGGAAGTTCTATCTGTCACTGTATAAGCTCTAATGTATTCATGCTTTGAGGTCCTGATGTTTGAAAAAGGAAATTCTCCAAATTGCTGTGATTTTGGAATCAAGTCTCTCACTCTTATAAATAAACTAGCAGCATTATTTGATAGAAAAATTTGAATCACTGTTTTATAATGTCAAACTCCAGTAAGACAAGTGAAAATATAGGCCTAGTTTCTTGTAGGCACAGTTGTCTTGTAAATGCCAACATATTTGATGGGTGTAACTTGTACTGAGTTTGTTAAAGCTATAGAAAGACTCCCTGAGAAACAGGAATAGAGACCTTAACCTTCTGAAAGTTCATAAGTTCATTGAAAATTTTTTGGACTCCTGATTATCTTTGTAAAAGAAACAGGGTCTGATTTCTTCCAAAGGCCAGTCTTCCAGGAGATGCACAAGTGTGCTTTATATATTGACATGTTTCTCAGAACTTTAAATTGTTAACACCAAGTTTATCTGAAATTTTATGAAACAAATTATCTCTTGACTATTTTATTTGTTGTCTCTTGAACTTTATATGTATTATAAGGGAACAGGCTGTCCTAGTTACATTATGGGTAAATCTGGTTCTATAGGGATAAGAAATAAAGTTAAATGATGCAAAATTCACTCCCCTTAAAGATGCAAAAATCTCTCCTTTTAAACATATTTTTATTTTATGTTTTAAATAGAAGTAACTTCTAAATAGAATGCTTTCAGGTATGTGCATTACAAGCTACCTATTATTCTGTATCCTTGAGGAAGAATTCTTTTCTAAGAAGATAATGCTGATGACTGTGGGCATTAAAAACTGACATTTCAGGTATCAGAGAAGAAAAAATACTTTCAAGTCTTTGATCTGGAATAAAGAGCCATCTGAACAAAGCAGAAAATGATCCTTCATCAACCACAGAGAATCTAGACAACCCAAGGACCTTTTTTTTCTATTGTAACTGATGTTCTTGTTATGCATGTTTTCCAAATACAGACTAAAATACCATGTTGTTCTATTTCATCTCTGCACCAGAGGGGAGTACCTAAGGAATATGGAAATATATTTTCACAGCTAAGTTTTGAGACATGTACTTCCTTTCTCCTCTAATCTTCTCCATTTTCTTACCTTTCTCCTCAATTTGGGGAGATTTCTCCATCAGTTATAGAATTAACTTTGTGTGTAAAGGAGGGCAAATTGTGTCTCAGTTGCTAATGAAGTTTAATTTCCACTGAAGCAGTTTTCATAAGTACTTGAAACATTAAAGAGAGATCTCAATAATCCTGTCAGAGAGGGAGTTATAACTTTCATGAACTTGGCATTCATTCATTCAACAACTACTTCCTGTATGCCTGAGATGTACAGGGAACAGTGTACAGGTCCATATATTAATTAGAAATTGTCCCTGCCTCCTTGTAGGAGGAATAAATACTTAACTGAAATTAGAATTATGTAAAAGTATCATAAACCCATTTGAAGAGCCAAGAATACTTCCTAGAAAATAAATGGCATTTGAGCTGGATCTAATACATAAGAAACAGTCTTACCATGGAAAACAGAAGAAAGGACAACCAAAGAAGAGAGAAGAATGTATTCAAATTCAAATTAATATTGGGAAATATCAAGAAGGGTGGTAGATTATATATTTAAACTTTTTCTTCAGCTCAAGACAAATCTTATCACTGACGTTTTCCACTCTTAACCAACCATCTGTATCCTGTTATGGCCAGCTTCTCCCAGCCCTACCTAGTCACCCCAGCTGAAAGACCTGGTGCAGCTTTGCCCAGCCCTTGGTACATTCCTGGCTAGAGGTGAAAGTTTTATTGACTTCTTTCTTCCCAACAACAGGGGAAGTCTGGAACCAATCCTGTTATCCTGAATCCAGGCTCAGCTGTACTAGGGTGAGCTCTTACAGTTAAGGGGGCCCTGAGCTACATACCACCTCTACCCACTTCTTTGGTCCCTTGTGCTGAACTTCTGCCCATGAGATCACTAATATACTGCCAGTCTCTTCCTCTAGCTAGGGGTCCTTCTCCCAACATCCTTGTTCCTGGATGCCCTACTATTTTGAAGGGATTGATTGGTCCATACTGACAGTACGATTGCTTATGTAAAAGTATAGTTCCTGCTATTTGTTCTCCTCCTAATGTGCATTTTTCCCTGCAGTGAATCTCCTTTGATGTCAAACCTTGACATAACCAAGACTGACGAAGCCTCATCACTTTGATACTGCTCTTGGAACACTGACTTTGTCCATCAGCATCTCTTCTCTCTACTTCGAGGTCAGTTCTGGACTCAGGCCAACTTCTCAGTGAAACACTTAGGCTATTTGGATAATAGTAACAGAAACTTATTTGAGCTAATCTAAGAGTGAGACTAAGAAACATTTATTAGAAGAAAATGGGAGTTTCTCACACATAGACAAAAAAGCTACAGGATTAGGTCTTTGGAAAGGTAATACTGAGGCTAGAGGCAGCAGGAAATGATGGGCTGTTTGTTCAGGATTCCATCACCATGGGGATGAAATCAGCTGCACATCTTTTCTCTTGTAATCCTGAGCTCAATTACAGGGAGTTAAATTCCTTAGAGTAATTATGTATGTTTGAATGGTCTAGATTAATCTATATTTTCCCCTCCCCTTTGGGCCCCTTAATTGACATCCTACCAAGACCACAGTCAGTGGGAACAGAGTAAGCCTCTAAACAAAATGATGGTGCTGCATACAAATGGAGTTGTAATGGAGATTGGGCGAACAATACCAATACTGTCAACTGTACTCAGCCTTTCTTTTTGTATCTGGTCTAAGTTGTTTCCTCCTCACTGGGTGATACTGTTTGGGTCCAGATGCATCAAGAATAAGCCCTTCCAATTTATGACAATATTGGAATCTCTAACATTACTTTTTTCTTTATAAGGCCACTTGGAGGATTCTTTTAAAGTTTGGTCAGACTTGGGTTGCTTGCCTAATGAATCAGAATCCAAAATTCTCTAGTCAAGAGATCACGTTTACTTCTGTTAGATTTGAGAGGAATAACAAGTTGTGATATCATATCTATCTGTAATTACAAAACTGCAATCAGGTTTTAAAACTCTTAGTTTCTGAAGTACAGTATCAAGATTTCCTAAGCCTCTAAATTTAGATTGGGTTAAAATTAATTATGACTAATTCTGATAATATCTACTGAAGCCTGAAATTGAAGAAAGTAATTTTAATACAAATTGCATTTGTGCTTGATGTAGTTTAATATATTTTGCAACTATTAACTATGTATTTAATAAGATTTGATGTTTCTTATTATTGACTTGAAAATCCAATACATATTTTCAAAAATTCTTTTTCTTAAACAATAATACTGTAACATTTTAAATATATGAAGTCCTTGTTAAAAAAAGTTATTTCTCATACTTGTCCTAAAGCAGTTCTCACTCTTCTCAATTTGATCAGCCATGAATTTATTTATTCTTTTATTTCATTCAAACAAAAGCTGAGTGGTTAACATATTAGGGCATGATGATATTTAAAGACATTTTCAGTTAAAATAGTCAGTGACTCTATGACTCTTCAGTATGTTGCTGAGCTTTTTTTTTTTTTTTTACATCTTTATTGGAGTATAATCGCTTTACAATGGTGTGTTAGTTTCTGCTTTATAACAAAGTGAATCAGCTATACATATACATATATCCCCATATCTCCTCCCTCTTGCATCTCCCTCCCACCCTCCCAATTCCACCCCTCTAGGTGGTCACAAAGCACTGAGCTGATCTCCCTGTGCTATGCGGCTGCTTCCCACTAGCTATCTATTTTACGTTTGGTAGTGTATATATGTCAATGTTGCTCTCTCGCTTCATCCCAGCTTAACCTTCCCCATCACCATGTCCTCAAGTCCATTCCCTACGTCTGTGTCTTTATTCCTATCCTGCCCCTAAGTTCATCAGAACCATTTTTTTTTTTTAGATTCCATATATATGTGTTAGTGTATGGTACTTCTTTTTCTCTTTCTGACTTACTTCAATCTATATGATAGACTATATGTCCATCCATCCACCTCACTACAAATAACTCAATTTCATTTCTTTTTATGGCTGAGTAATATTCCATTGAATATATATGTGCTACATCTTCTTTATCCCTCTGTCGATGGACACTTTGGTTGCTTCCATGTCCTGGCTATTGTAAATAGTGTTGCAATGAACATTGTGGTACATGACTCTTTTTGAATTATGGTTTTCTCAGGGTATATGCCCAGTAGTGGGATTGCTGGGTCATACGGTAGTTCTATTTTTAGCTTTTTAAGGAACCTCCAAACTGCTCTCCATGGTGGCTGTATCAATTTACATTCCCATCATCTGGTACTCTTGACTAGAACTTAGCTTTCTGTGTAACACATTTCAGAAATATTTCATGAAAATGAGAATAGATATTATATTGTCTTGGGTTAAAGACAGTGTAGATGTTTTAAGGAGGCAGAAGGTGAAAGACGATCCTGATATTAAATATAATAAGTTTTATGACTGTACTTCTTAGAAAGCAACGGAGCATTCTTAATCTGGGCTCAGCTCCATTGCTTTCAATGAAGAATTCTTACTATAAATGCACTGGATCAATCTGGATTCAGTTGCAAGCAAGAATGTAACGTGCAAAATGTTTCTCTCAAATCTTTGCTGCCAGTGAATCAGCTCATAATAGAATGCACTATTGATTTCAATTAAAAAGTTGTTAAGTGCATAGTGTGAGTATATAAAAGCATGATTAAAAAGTAGTTTAACCAAGCAGCAAAAATGCTAATATTTGAAATTATTGAAAGATGTATATTAGGAATTTCCTTAAAATATGACTTACTGAAAAACATGATTCTTTTGCTATGAGGCATAGTATAGAGATATGTTAACACAGGAAGAAGGAAATCTAAAATTGTCATGAAAGCAGTAGGCTCACGGGAAGTCCTTATGAAATCCACAAATCTATATTAAATATCTGCTATAACTCAACATTGGGCTAACATGCTAGGACAATGATTTTCAAAGGGTAGGGGTGGGGACATAACAGAATTTCTCATTGATTTTTCCAACACACCTATTTTGGAAAAGAATTTGGAACTATATTCCTGTATATTACCTTCAGTATTTTTGAGTGTGAATAATGTGATCCAGCTGTGACTGAGAAAAATATGAAATGAAATATAATCCAAATGAGTTCAAATATTATGCATGTAGCAAATCCTTCAGCCTGAATATGAAAAAATATGTTTATACTTCCATGAACATGAAAAAATCAGGTTTTCCCCCTCCAAGGTAAATGCTAAATTTATATTTAAGGGCTATGGATTTGATGGAATCCTAGGTTTTTAGTTTGCTTGGAGTGTCTTGATTTGGCCCCAACTTATAAACGAGGAATCAAATCTAGTATAAGATGGCTTAGTACAGTCATTACTAACTATGATGGATAAGGAAGAATTAAGGGAAATGTTGAGAATTGATCTGACCCTTAAAGGGAGTTCAGAAACTGATTTAGAAAAGAAAAAAAAGGTGATGGGCATGTTGACTTATTTCCTGAGACTTCTTTCTGTCCATTTATGAAATGCTTTTGTTTTAGTTAACTGCATTTTTAGTTCAATAAATCTATAGTCACATATGTGGCTGCAAACAGTGCATTATCAAATTTCCAAAATAACCAATTGGCTTTTTTGCTTTTTAAAGGATTGTATAGTAAGAGAGAGACTAAGAGTTATCTTTATGTTGCTCTGTTTCCTTCACCAAGATATCTGATCACTTCTGTGACTAAGCTATTTGAACAGTCAGCAGTTTGCTGAACCTTGGCCCCATATAAACTGAAGCAGTTTCAAATCCATTACAGGGAAGGTAAGTCAAAGATTCTCATAAATTATTTTCATTATAGAGTAATGGTCTGTGGAGATTCAAATCTTTCCAAGAGTTGAATGTACTGTTTTCTGTGTACTGTGGTGCAGTAGGGAAATTACAAATTATTTTAAAGCTTCAGCCCTTTAGAGAAAATCAATTCAGAGTCCATCAAAGTACCATTTAAGTCTTCTTCTGACTGGATATTTTGTGGGCATTAGTGAAGAGCAGCATTATTTCTTCTACAACTATTGTGAATGATGGATATTTCATGCTCTGGTTTATTTTCAAGTTGGGAAGGAGGTCAAATTAAATAATATCCATTTATAATAATTATGAGAAACTATTATTTTTTGCCATATCCTACTTGACACACTGCAATCACTGTGATAAATGTGTTACACACTTTAAAGTAGCACTCTTCAGAGCCCTTTCAGGAAAATTAGAAAACCAAGGGAGAGAAAGCTCAATAACTTACCCAAAGTAATCCATCTGGTAAGTGAAGAAGTCAGATTTCAAACCCAGACCTGAATTTTTAATCCCTTCTCCATTAAATGGGTGTAATTCCTTTCCCTAAGTCACATGGCTTGTGTTTTGGCCAAGATGGTTTCTTGCAAGTAATAGACCCCGCTCAAAAAACCTTACGAAAAGAAAAAACGAAAATGTGTTGGGAGCATATAGGGATGATCAGCAAAATTTTAAAAAGTGCCAAAGAAACCAGTTGTTTCAGAGTTCAGGAACTGGAACCAGGAATAAAATCAGATCCATTTCTCTTTTCATTTCCTATATTATGGTAGACTCAGAAATCTGATACATACTGTTTTATATCTTTGCAAATATTGTTTGGTTAAGCTGCCATTATTCCTTTTGACAGCTGTGATAACTAAGACATAATAAGTGAATTGATTTGTCCAAGGTGGGTGGCTGATTAGTTCCAGAGGTAGTGCCCAGCCCTCCAGACACTGTACTGTGCTCTGCTAATTTATTTCTCTTTTATAAAGCCCTAATGTATCAGTATTCCTGTAAGTATTAAAGACTTTTTAATTTTAGAGAGACTAATGGAAATATTAATACATTTTAAAGAGAAAACCAATTTGATATTTTAGATTCTCATATAGCTCATACATCCTTATCGATATTGACCATATGAAACCCAGGGCAATTAATCTATAACTTAAAAAAAAGTGTTTGGCACTAAATTATAGTATTAAATGAAAAGTTACCTTCACTAATATGGATTTCATGAATTATCTGGAAAATTTTTTCATTAAAATGCATTTCAAACAGATAGCTATTCTGAAATATAATATTTAGTTTGCAGCACAGTGGGAAAAAAGCTCTTTTGATAAAAATTATTCAGTATTCTTTTCTTAACCTTTATCTTATGTAGACATGCTAATAAAATAAAGGTGAAACTATGGATTAGTTTCTATGATACTTAGAACACTTTTTACCTTTTGCTTTGTAAGTGATTTCACATAGACAGGTCTCCAAATTAGATGCCTTATCCACAAGGTGGTGTCCTAACATTAGCAACCAGTAGGTTGAGCTTACAAATAGTATTGACTTTACTTGACAAAAATGTTTTTCAAGTTGAAAGTGCCAAGTGCCCATGCATAAAAATAATTACTCCTCAGCCTGTGGTTTTGTGCAAAATGTACTTGGGAAAATGTATTGTTCAACTCAATTTGATTAACTCTTGTCATAGATTTGTATTTATTTACATTAATGCTACACTGGAATATTCAGTTCATTAACTTCTAATTTAGCTAAAACAAAGAGGAAAACTGTTTTCCTTGCAAATCTTGACAAATTTTCAAGTGGCACAATAGTTGAGGTTTGGTAATGTACATTTTATTTTGTCATGAGAAATACACTTAAGAACTTAATATTTTTATCATGTTTTTTAAAATTTCCATAATGGTTTGCTTTTGAAATCATGGATGGTCACATTTAGTTAATCTTGCACTTGAGTGCATTTAAAATTTGAATATAGTGAGTTGTATGTTGTTTTCTGCTTTTAAAAACCGATATTTATTTCCAGGCTCCTGAGAAATCCCTGGTTCTAATAACTTGTACTGGTTATCACTCACTTTTGAACACATGTAGACACTTTCTAATACCAATTCTTGGGGGAAAAGAGGTTGAATACACTCTACTGCTTTTAAGAGCATTTGAATTAAAAAAAAAAAGAAATTGTCTCAGATAAAATTAAACAGACTGATAGCCTATAATTTCGTTATTTATTTATTTATTTATTTTTGGCTGCATTGGGTCTTCATTGCTGCACGTGGGCTTTCTCTAGTTGCAGCAAGCAGGGGGTTACCCTTGGTTGCAGCATGCGGGCGTCTCTTTGCGGTGGCTTCTCTTGTTGTGGAGCGCAGGTTCTAGGCACGCGGGCTTCAGTAGTTGTGCCTCGCAGGCTCTAGAGTGCAGGCTCAGTAGTTGTGGGCTTAGTTGCTCCACGGCATGTGGGATCTTCCCGGACCAGGGATCGAACTCGCGTCCCCTGCACTGGCAGACGGATTTTTAACTATTGTGTCACCAGGGAAGTCCCTCTAACTTTGTTTTAACACTAAATTAAAAGAAAGCTAGACTTGCCCTAAATTGAAAGCAGTACTTTTGCTTTTAAAAAGATATTTTCATATGGGAAAAGAATCTAAAAAAGAGTGGATATATGTATATGTATAACTGATTCACTTTGCTGTACAGCAGAAACTAACACAACATTGTAAATCAACTATACTCCAATAAAAATTAAAAATATAAAAAGATATTTTCCATGTTCTGTTAGTTGTTAAAAAGTTGTCAAAGTGTGTTTTGGGGACCTTTCTGTATCTTCACCCTGAAAAAGGAAGTTCATACAAAATAACTTGGCTTTGTTAGAGGGCAAGAAAGAAGTATATCAAAATGAGATATATATAATCAGTTCAAAAGTTATCATCTGCATTAATGTGAATTTTATAGAGTTTTGAAAATAAACCTGGCAATATATGTTTGAAAAAAGTATATACATACTCCTGAACTTTGTGCCACCATTAGAAATCTATCCTACAGAAATAGAGGTACCAGTCTATTAGGGTATATGTACAATAATATTTATTCCAGCATTGTTCATGGAAGCCAAAGTAAAATAATACTGTAAGAATGTGAGTCCCCATCAAAAGATGAATAAATTATATATCTATACCATGGAAAATCATTTAGCCGCTAAAAGAATGAACTAAAGCTATGGAGCTATACAAATTGCCTAGAGGAAATTATATAGGTATTGTTGAATGGTAAATTAAAGGAATTTATAATGAGATCTCATTTTTTTAAAAAACCAAAAATCATATACTTATTATACATATGTACATTTATATGCCCATATATGTTTGTCTATGATTAAATATTCATGGAAGGAAGCACGGAAGAATTCATATTAGCTAATTTACATGAGCTCCTTCTTGAGGGTTCTCATAGTTTCCCCAGAAAGCAGACTCAGATAGTGATTGGCATGCAGGAAGTTTATGGAGTGCTCTCAGGGTCAACCATTGAGGGAAATGAAGGAAAGTAGATTAAGCTGAGGGAGGGACTGGGCTGTGATACAATCACAGCAGCAGCTCAGCTGATCCCATGGAGACCTCTGGAGCTGGGATGTTCCTGCATAGTCATTCATAACTGGAACAAGGGAGTCATTTTGCTCTACATTCTCTATTTGCCTTCCTCCTCCTAACCCTCCACACTGACTAGTCATTGGATGTGGACTGCCCCCAGGAAGGAGGTGTGATAGAGCTACAGCTCTGCTCAGCTGAAGGTGCTCCTTAGAAAGGAGGATTCAGCTGTGAGCATCCACTGTCAACATTCCCAGCAATTGAAGGAATAACCGCTCTAGTCCTGAAAGGGGTAAGGAAATTTAGTTGGCACACCATAACATTCTCTAAAGGATAGGGTGAAGAATAATGTGGTTGAATGGGGAAGGAGAGAGGAAGAGGTAGCCATACAAGAGAAGAGAAAAATTGTTTTAATAAAAGCATGGAAACAAATGGTAAATGTGCATCAATACTGCAAGTGGTGTGGGAGTAGCAATGCTATGAAAAATTCATAATGTTTTACCTACAAAAACCTTCCAAAACCTTTCTTGACCCAATTTTTGGGGTTATTTTTGCTTTTCAATGTACCGTATTTTCTTTGACAACACTGAAGGGATAAAATGCTCAGTGAAGAAGGATTGAGAAGTAAGCTTAAAGATTTTATTTTCAGAAGGAATAAATGTCTGATGAAGGAAATTACATCATGATGTATACTTACTGCAGTATTTTGGCTATGGTAACTATTCTTACAAAGATGCTATATTTGGAGAAAAAAAATTGTCTTGGGAAAAGAGGTAAACATGTTGATAATTTACTGTTCCTTAATGTATCATAGTAAGGCTCTGAACTACTTTAGCTCGACTTTATATACAGCTTTGTAGTTTTCATTTATTGAATAGCTATCATATACCAGGCAGTTTATTAGGCCCTGGGGGACTAGAAACTACAGACTTAGTGATTCAGAGCCTTGTAGGAAAGGCAAACGAACAATCAATCACAGAGTGATAAGGCTATGGTATAGACAGAGTGTATGGGAGCTCAAATGACTACCCAAACCAGAAGGTTGCAGGCTGAGGATGTCAAAGCTTTCAGGAAGAGAATACTTCTGAATTGTGGGTGGATACTGGGGCAGGTGAATAATAAGGAAGAAGATCTAAGGGTAAAAAGGGCACCATCAGGGAGCTGTAAGTAGTCCAGTATATTGCAGTTGAGACTGTAAGCTGTATGGATTGGGATGAGGGTCTAAGTCTTAAGAGACCATGTTGGAGAACAAAGCAGGAACAAGATCATAGTTAGGATCCTGACAGGAAACACAGGGCACAAATAAGATAATTTGAAGAGAGTATAATAAAGCATCTATGTATAAAGAAGTGGTTGGGGGGTAGGGCAAGGGTTGGACATTTCCACCCTAGGCCTAATACAGCAAGAGTTAGAGGGGCTTATTAGAGCCTGGAGACAGATGGCTAAGTAGAGGGAGCCGCCTTTCTCACAGGAGGAATGTTGCAAACCTGCAGTGACATTGAAAAGAGGGAGCTGGGAGAACAAATAACTTGATGGGACCACAGGGAAGGTGAGCCCATTGTTATGTCCTTGCAGGTTAGAATGGAGAAAGGTGAAGAAGAGCAGAATGCAGTTCTGGAGGGGCAAACAGAAGATCTCTTCCTTGCATAAGTGACAGTCGCAGAATTGGAGATTAAGTAGGAGGTAAGTAGATGAAAAAGGGAAGGAAGCAAATGGAGCAACATGGCAAGATTCTGTGGCAGGAGTGTGCATGGTGAATATAGAGACTAAAATAATGCCAGTACAGCTAGGGTATAGAGAGCAAAGACGTGAGACATGAAGTTATAAAGGCAGACTGTACAGGGCCAGTCATGCCAAGTTAAATACTTGTTATATGACCTTTAAACATTTTTTTGGCAAAACATTAACTACTCCCTTACTGTTGGTTATAAATGTAAAGGGAAATGAAAAAAAATGGTAAAACCAATATTTATTTAATACTCTGAAATTTAAAACATTAGAAACATTGGGAATTAAAGTGTTTTATTTCTTTGAAAAAAGTGTCAACTGTAGTTTGATCAGTGTTTGCCTTTTTCTTCTTATAATGTAGCAGCATATGGGAATATGGGACAAGAATCTTTTTTTCATGTCTTAGTGAATTGTCATACTCCTTTAAAAATTTGGATTCATTTCCAAAATTCTAACTTTTGCACTTTGAATGTTGTGAGATATCTCCAAGAGTTCTTTAAATGAGAAACTTTTTGCGGGTGTCACTTCTCTGGGATATCTTAATCTTTTTCGTTGTAACTGCTCATTTAGGACAATGAGTTCTAATAATATCCAATTTCACTTCTAGTATTATTGCTTTCCACTTCTTTCTTGCACTTTCATATTTTGACCAATTCTCTCTTCAGATTATTCAACATTATAAAATGTTACTGGGTTTGTCACTGAGAGACAAGGAGACAACACAACTACGTGCTTTACTGTCTGAAGGTAAAGTGAATGACAGATGCACAATGACCAATCACCAACAGGCTTTAAAAGAGTTGACATGGTTGGTAACTGATCATGATGTGCAGTTGCTATTTATACAGTGATTTGTAGACTAAAGGGCTATCAGCAAGTCTGTCCTTCATGCAATTTATTCACAGTAAATGTACCACGGTAACTAAAATTTGGACCATTTTGTTGAGGGACTGTTGTTATTTAAACTATATTAACTGAAATTCATACATTTGAAACAAGGTGAAGCCAGGACTACCTATGTATTTAATCAATGGCTAAGCAGAGAGCAAGAGGAACAAACAATTTTGGGAAATGTATTAGGGTAGATATAAAGAAGGAAATATGTGTCCTCTTCCAGCTTTGTATTTGGATTACTTCTTAATTTAATGTAGGACACAGTATACAGAAATGCATCATATGTGCTATGCTTAGAAGTGAGTAAAATTAATAGAAGCTCCTATTTGCTATATTTAAATTTTATGATTTTTTAAAAGGTGATAATTTCAAGTGGTTAAAATTTCAAGAGACACAAAAGGCTATACAACGAAAAAAGTCTTACTAGCATCCCTTTCCCAGCTACCAGTTTCTCTTCATTGAGGGCAACTGACATTATCCTTTCAGAGGTAGTCTTTGCATACGCAAGCAAACATATTCACAAACACACTGACAAAATTTTCTCCCTTTTTAAAATACCCATTCTAAGCAGCTAATATTTATTGAGCATTTGCTACGTACCAGACAATGTGCTGACCTTTATATTCTTTATTTCATTTAATTCCCCAATAAACTTTGAGATAGGTTGTTATTATGGCAGAGGGAAATCCATCTCCAAAAGTTTAACTTCTTTTCCCAAAATCATGCATTTGGTATGTGGTGGAGCAGTTATTGTCATGTAAGTATTTTGAATTCTCAAGTGCAGGCTGTTAATTACCAGACTACACTATCTAGGATCTGTGTATAGGTCATGCAATACCATTTTATTAGTCTAACAGTCCTTTTACGGTACAGGAAATTCTTTTTGCTAATTCAGTCTATGAAAATATGGTGCTCAGGAGGTTTAAGAAAGACTGAGGTTTGTCCAAAAGCATTAGCTATCTCTCTCAGGAGACTGGCCACCATCTGTACTGGGAAATTGGCCAGGTTGCTTGGAAGGAGCCCAACCCTGAGTGCATGTCTATGGTCTGTTCTCTGAGACTGTCAGGCAGTCCCTCTCCCTGTTGGGTATTGGCATTCCGTCTGACACTCAGCAAGCACGGGAGCATGCACACACACCACACACACACACACGTACACACACACAAACATATCATTTTGTTCATTTATTCATTCCAAAACAAATATACCTATTAAGTGTCTTAAACTTGCACAATAGAAATATGAAGTTTAGGAAAACTAACAACCCGTGCCAAAGCCTGTGCACCTTCTTGATTTCATAAACTGTGTGTTGCTTGGCAGTTTATGCTTCACAGTCTGTTGTGAGCAGAAATACTACCCTGGTCAGGTCTGGTTAGCAGTTGTGCATGTTATCTAGTTGTCTGCTTCCTAAATGTGTCTTTTGGAGCACTCTTGGAGTGTCTCATGCTCCCTTTTCTCCACCATGGACACCTCTCACCTTTCTTCGTTACAGTGGTGTTGCTGAGTGTTTTCTCTGATGCTTTTATTTGAGAGTGGAAAGCTTGAAGGTGAAGTTCAAATTTTTAAAAAGTCAAGTGAGCTTTATTGGCTTCAGGAACTCTGGGTCAAATTTCAGTAAGAAATTCACACACACACACTCTGTTCTGAGATAGCTTGTCATGCAGACTAAGTGCTTCTCCAAGGAAGCTTTTAAATGCACTGCACAAAGCCTGGTTAACAGTTGTCTGTGAAAGATGATGATTTTCAATAGCTGCTAATGTTAGGGGGAATGTGCTGTATTTTCCTGCAAGTCTGAAGGCCTTGGATCTTGGCATCATTTGGTGTTTGTGCTCAAGAGCAGAACAATGTCTTATGATATTTAGGGGTTTGGAGTCATTTCTTTCTGTAAACTAGGTTTTTGTTTCAAAATCTAGTCTCCACTTGGCTCGACTCGACTGCTTTTTTGATTTGTAGTTTTATGAATATTAGACAAAGAGTAAAGATTATATCCCATCTGTAAAATGACTTATATTTACTATTTTGTAATAATATCTGATAAATGAAGTTAATTAAAATATTTCTAGATAGAAGTAGCTGTATATCAGTAGATGACCTCATTTGCTACTTTTGATCTCGGGTGGCCTCAGCCTGCAGCAGCTTGAAGCAGGATTTCGGTTCCCGGCAGAGACTGAAGTTAGCCTGTGGCAGTGAGAGCACTGAAGCCTAGCCACTAGACCACCAGGGCCAGTGGCCAGTGGTAAGGCCCTGGCCCTTCAGCTGTGTAGAAATGAACTTCCACATAGAGACAGAAAGCAGTGACACAAGTAAAGCGTTTATTAGGAGGAAAAAGAGTCCATGTGGATAGACACACGGGTGGCCTCAGAGAGAGAGTTTCGCCCTCGTGGTAGTTTGAATCACTTTTATGGGACATTTCTTCTGGATTTCCTTTGGCCAATTATCTTGCTTTGCCTGGTTCTGAGTCCGTATTTGGTATATCTGAGGGTCCTCCCATGTGTGAGCATGCATCTCTTAGCCAAGATGGATTCTAGCAAAGAGGCCTCTGGGTAGGTTGACATCACTTACTATGGGGTGGCGCCCCCTCCCTTTTTTTTTTTTTTTTTTTTGCGGTACGTCTGCCTCTCACTGTTGCGGCCTCTCCCGTTGCTGAGCACAGGCTCTGGACGCGCAGGCTCAGCGGCCATGGCTCACGCGCCCAGCCGCTCCGCGGCATGTGGGATCCTCCCAGACCGGGGCACGAACCCGCGTCCCCTGCATCGGCAGGCGGACTCTCAACCACTGCGCCACCAGGGAAGCCCGCCTCCTCCCTTTTTGACCTCCAAAGAGTGTTTCTACACATGTATAGTTGGGAAGGTCTCTTTGACTCTGAGAATGAGAAACATGTGGTCTCTTATCTGGGCAGGGCTTAGCTCCTCCTCCTCTTCATCTTGGAGTATCTGTCCACAGGGGACAAACTCCAGCTCTTCAGCCTAAGGCCTATCTATCTCCTGCCTCACTTTATTTGGAAGTTTGAGCTCAGCCAGTGTAAGTACCCTCAATTTGCCCTCTTCTCATCTTAAAGTTTATGTCACTTTCTTCCTCTTTTATGCATTCTGTTTTCAGAGGACATGTCCTTGCAGATCATACCTAGGTTCTTTACCTTGTGTTCCATTCTCCACTGGAACCTCATTCTATCACTTGCTTCTCAAGTCTTTCTTTTTTACTAGCTTCTTTTCTTGTCCCAAAAGCGATCACAGCCATCCTCTAGTACCCTAGTACCCTAGTACCTCTAGTACCCTCTAGTATCTTCAATTACTTAAAAAAGAAAAAATCTTTTCAAATGAGAATTTTATATTCTCTGTTTACCTTAACCCCATGAATATGGTCTTCTGTCTCTACCACTCCTAAAGCCACTATTCTGAAATAACCAATGAGTTACGGAACTGCCAACTCTGATGGCCTTGTTTTTTTTAAAAAATTGAAGTATTGTTGATTTACGATGAAAGCAAACTAGTGGTTACCAGTGGAGAGAGGGGAGGGGGAAGGGCAAGATAGGGATATGGGATTAAGAGACACAAACTACCATGTATAAAACAAATAACCAACAGGGATTTATTTTACAGCACAGGGAAATATAGCCACTATTTTGTAATAACTTTAAATAGAGTATAATTTGATGGCCTTTCAATCCACAACCTCATTAAGCTCTGCAGCATTTGATGGAAAACCTTTCTCCTTCCCTGGCTTCCAAGGCAAGTGTTGTTTTTTTGGTCTTGCTATTTTTTTGTTCTTTTTCTGTATCCTGTCAAGGCTTCTTAATCTAATCGCCCCTAAGTATAGAGCTCCACTAATTTTCCAAGTGTCTATATTTGGACCCCTCTCTCCTGTCTCTCTTTTATCTCCTCGCTTTGTCAGTTCAGCCTTTTCAGTTTTACTTATGACCTCTATATGAATAACTTCCAGATTCACTTCTCTGATACTTTCTGAAAGATGAAGACCAGCACTTCCAACTGGTTTCTGGATGTCTTCACTCATTCCCTCCCTCATTCATTCACTTACATTCACTGAGAACCTATAAAGATAAGTACTGCTATAGAGCTGTGGAGTTGGTAGTGAATAAAACAAAGTCCCTGTTCCACAGAACTTACATTCTAGTGAGAGTAGAAAGTATAAGCAAATACAAAAATGTGGCAGGTGGTGGTAATTGCTGTGGAGAAAAGCTGAGTAAGAAGATGGAGAGTGATGGGAAATGTGGTGACTAATTTAGATTGGATAATCAGTAAAGGCTCTCCATAAAATGCCATTTGAGCAGAAACCTGAAGGAAGTGTGAGTGCAAACCATGTTCACATCTGGGGGCAAAGTGTTATTTTCTAGCAGAGGGAATAGGCCTGAGGGGAAGAGGGAGAGAGAGGGAGAGATACCTCTTTGACCTCATTTTAAATATGTATCTTATAATCATACCACTTCTTACACTTTTACACACACACACAAAGAAAACACATCTATGTTACGCATAGAGTTGATATCAGGGTTTCAAATCACATAGGGCCTTGTGGGGCATGTTAAGGACATTGACTTTTGCCCCAAATGAGAGGAAAAGCCATTGAAGGATTTTGAATGAAGAAGTAATAAGATCTGACTTACACTTACAAAGAAACCCTTTGGCAGCTTTGTGGAGTAATGATTGCATGTGCTCAAGTGTGGAAGCATTTAGACCAGTCAGAAGTCTAACAGAAAATATAATAATGCAGGGGAAAAAAAGAGGAGAGTTTGTACCAAAGGGGCAAAGACGAAGATTGTTAGCACTGGTTAAGATTCAGGATTTTACTGAAGGTCTGGTATAAGGTATAAGAGAAAGAGAGTAGTCAAGAATGACAGGGCGTTAGAAACTGGTAGAATGGAATTTCCTTTTATTATGAAGCAAAAGAATTTGAACAGGTTGTAGAGGATGGTGAAATCAAGTGTATGGTTTTGAACATATTAAATATGAGATGTCTATTAAACATCTGAGGGGAAGTATCAATAAATATTTAGATATATAAATCTGGAGGCAAAATCAAGCAAACTATGTAAGCATGTTATTTGTCAATAGATATATAGTTAAACAAAAGTCACAGGACTGGATGAGATCTTTAGAAAACAAGTATAGATAAAGAAGAGAAGAGATCCAGATGTGAGGACTGATTCTGAATTGTTTAATGTTTAAAGTTCAGGAAGATGAGGGGGATTAAAAAGGGAGAGGGAGATAAAGAATAGTAAGCAAGGGTTTTAAGAAATAACAAGTCCCGCTAGCTGGTTGAGTAAGAGGAAGGCTGAGAAATGACCACTCGATTTATTATTATAGAAGTCACTTATGATCTTGACAGAAAAATAACAAGGTTGGTGTGGTGAACAGTGAACACAGCCTTACTTAGGAGGGACCAAGAGAGAACAGAAAAATTGGAGACAGGAAGCAGAAATAACTTTTTCAAGAACTTTTGTTGTAAAAGAGAGAGTGGTAACTTAGTGTTTGCTGAAGGGAATGTAGGTCCAAAGGTGACATTTAAAAAAAAAAAATTAGAAGAAATAACACAATTTTTGTTTCTCATGGGAACCAACTAATAGAAAGAGCAAAATTGATGATGCAAGTGAGAGGATAATTGTAGGTGTGATGTCCTTTTGCCCTTGAGCGTGTGGGAGGGTTGGGATTCAGGCACAGTGGGAGATTGGTTGGTTTTAGAGAGCAAAATAGATGCTTCAGCCATTGTAGCAGGACAAAGTGCTTTGTATGTGAATACAGATGCAAATATGTGATCAAGTCAATGAGGAGAAAGTGTGAAGTTCTCCTGTGATTACTTGTAAATTTTCAGTGAAATAAGAGGATTATCAATTGACAGTGGGGAGGGGGAGGAGATCTAGAGATCTGAGATGAGAATGTCAAATAATTATCTAGGATAATAGCTATTGAATGTTTTTGACAGCAACATAGAATAAGAAATATCACTATCCAGGATGTAAATACATGAACACACACACACATACACACACAAACTAAGAATTCAGGAGACAATATTCTTACTTCACTTACTTTCACTTCAATTCTATTTTGTTAACAAAAGGTGAATAATAACTCACTAAATAATTTCATGACCCACTAATAGGTTGCAATATGCAGTTTGAAAGACACTCAACTAGAAGAGTTGAAGAGGAGATTTTCTGCAGAAATGTAATAGCATTCCTGTGCAGCAAAATAAACTAGCTTAAGTATAGAATGTATAGTGAGATTGATCAGCATAATCAAAAGCAAATCATTAGGCACTGCCCCACCCCAATTATTCCTCCTATTGTGATTCCTATTATTTTTCAAGTCCTCTATTCTCTGGTAACACAGATTTGAGCTCTATTAATTTTCTTCTTTTACCCCATTTCTGAATTCTCTTCATTGAATCATTTGCAAAATTAAAAAGATTCTACCTCTAAGCTCTCACCAACATTTCCTTGTTTCTATATCCATTGGTTTCACCATGGTTCAGGACCTTTTTGCTTTCTTTTTGTTTATATTTTTATTTTACTTATTATGATAATAATTGGTACCCATGATAATAGATTTATTTTAAAAAGAACAAGTAGCTTAAGAAAATAAATATCAAACACAATATCTATCACTAAGAGATTATCTAGCTACATTTGTTGGTATATATACTTCCATTTTATATGCATATATTTTATATAGTTTTCCCTGGAATTTTATATATATGCAATTATATAATGTAACCCTGTCTTGTAATAAGCTTATTTGTAAGATAACACATTGTGAATTTCTGTCCACATCATGTGTTTAATAAAATCATATTTAATAGCTGCAGAGAGCTCCCATGCATGCCATTTTAATTTAAGCCATTTTGTTGAGTTTGTGCAGTCATGTGTGTGTGTATCTCTCAGATCTGGTACTGCAGGGTGTACAATTTCCCAAGGACCCCGGCTGCCGTGCTCTAAAATCCATTCATCTCTTAGTTTGTTGCAAGGCTGCACTTCCTGTGGGTCACTCCCAGTCAATAACTGAATGCTGGAAATGTACTTAAGCAGGCCCATTTGGACACTTACGATTCCTCTGATGAGCGATTTTGGCTGGAGGTCTCCCAGACAGCCTTGCAGAAATTTCTGGAGCACTGCGAACCACTTTCCTTTCTTCCTTCCCTCAGAATCAGATTCACACGGAGTCTGAAGGCTGTCCCTGCTTCTCCCAGCTCTTTTCCCATTTTCTCTCAATGTCCTTTCTTTTTTTCCCCTAATAAATTTCTTGTACACTTAATCCCATCTTGGCATCTGTTTCTCAGAGGACCCAAACTAACACCAACATTGAGGTTGTTTTCAGACTTTTATTCTGTACAACTACACTTCTGATTGCTCAACACTTAAGCATAGCATTCTTCTGTTGGAAGCCCTTCGAAGCATTGCCACTGCTCACCAAATTGAACCTAACCCTTTCTTCTCGCCTCCATAGTTGTGCTCTAGCCTATCTTTCCAAACACCACCCAGCACTCTTAGTCTAGCCGAAGGCCCACTGACCAAATATTCTCCTATTCACTTTATTGCACCTCCTCCCCTCCTCCCCAAGAAAACATCTGCCCAGCTGATGCCTCCTTCATTCTGGATCTCTTCTTGAATCTTCCATCCCAGTATTCTTTCCACTCCATTTTAAAGGCCACAGGAAGGTGTTTTCTGCAGTGTATTCACTCTTTTTGGTAAATTAAAATGGAGTCTGTATAGTCTTTTATCAGACATATCTGTATAGTTATATTATCATTGTTAAAACACACTCACAGAAAGCTAGCTGAGATTGGGTTTGTCTGGGAAACACTGAGCTAAACAAAAAATGATCCAAGATTTTTTGTTTGGTTTTTGTTTTTAATTTCAAGACTTCCCAGAGCCCTTAGAATGCTAACATACATTGTGACTTTCTAAGACCAACACTGATATCTTTTGTAGCTTCTCTTGAATTTATTTGATCACAAAATCCTTCAAAAACAGATCACAGATTTGAGAAATCTGGAACTGGAAATAGTTGTCAGTATATTGGGCACATTTTCAAGAGTCTGTAGTAAGATAATCCTTCAAAAACAGATCACAAATTTGTTATAGAATTTTGTATGTATGATTTTTACAGTATTATATATTCTTCATCTTGCTATAGCTCTTTGCATATTTATCTTACACATTTTCCCACTTTAACATAAGGTCTTGAAAATAACAGGCATTTGTTGAGTTAAATATCATGGAATTTTAGTGAAGGGTCGTGGTCTGGAACGATGTTTGGTAACCAGAGAAATTTAGTTTGCATCTATTTCAGTAGCTTTTTTTTGCAGTCTTTTTTATACCATCTCATCCTGGGCTGGGAAAATTATCTTGATGCTGGGCAAAAAGCCATTGTTAACATGGGGCTACATACATATTCTCTACAAATCACTTTATTGGGACATTGTACCAGAAGAATATAAAAGGAAAGGAGGAACAATTGGTATAAAACTATGGTTTGAACCACAGATCTCTGAACACTGTCCGTAAAATAAGCCGAGGAAGCAGCTGCCTCTGGGTCCTGGCACACCCTGGGCGGTGGAGAAGGCAGCCTATGGGTTAGTCCTGATTGTTTTCATTTCCAAGGGTATGTCTGTCAAAAAGGTACTCTGCCAGGCCAGAATCCGGGGCTCCCATCTTAACCAAGTTGTGCACGTGGTCACCTAGTTGTTTGATAGACTTCACCTGCTCATTCAGATAGTGGGTTTCCAGGAAATCGCACAAATGGGGGTCACCTTTGTCTGAGGCCAGAGTGTGCAATTCCAGCAACGACTGGTTCACATTCTTTTCCAAGAGCAGAGCGCACTCCATGGCATTCAGCCCGCTTTTCCAGTCGTCCTGGTCCGGTTTCTTGATGTCCTGTAGGCAGATCTGTCCTCCCCGCTGGTTCTGCAGCCTCATCAGCTTCTCCGCGTGCTCGGTCTCCTCCCGGGACAGTCGAAGGAAATATCTGGCGAAGTTGTGCAAGGCCACGTCATCTCGGGAGAAGTAATAGGCCATAGACAAGTACACGTAGGACGCACAGAGCTCCAGGTTGATCTGGCGGTTGATGGCGGCCTCTGAGTCCGGGTGGAAGTTCTGGCGCACCCTGGAGGGGGCGCCGGCTGGCCCTGCTGGTCCCCGCGAGGAGGCGGCTGCGGCCAGCAGGTGGCCGGGGCCGGCGGGCGGGGAGCCCCAGGGCCGCCTGGGGACCCAGCGCGGCGGGAGCGCGAAGCCGTGGCGCGCCCTGCGCAGGGACACCAACGAAGTGCTGATGTGCTTGGAGAGGAACAAGAAACAGGGCAGCATGGCCCCTTCTCTTTAGAAGTGGGGAAACTGAGGCCAGGCCGGCTCAGCGCGCCGGGGCGTAAGATCTGAATCAGAATGCAGCTTTAGGTGACGGCGACTGCGTCACACGCCCCTTCCAGAGGCACCGAATTCCAGGCGGAGGGAGGCTGGGGGCGCGCGCCGGTCGCGGTTGGGAAAAGGCAGATGACAGTTACAAACATTGCACCTGTCGTCGCTGAAAGACTTCTGCTCTTGGGCGTTTGTAATTTACTATTTCACATAAGTTAAAAGTACTGTCAAAAACTAGACGCTGCAAAAGAAAGGATGGAGCCAAGCCACACTTGCCCGCCCTCTCTGACCTTTTTCTGTCCAAGGACCAAGGGATGGGAGAGGCAAGGCAGTGAAATAGGGAAAAACAAAAGTCACCACCAATTCATCTGAGAGTAAATAAAGGTCTACACCCAAAGAGGATGTTTATAAATTGACTTTCGGGTTACTTTAACAAACTTAAGTATGGAAATAGTTGCCAGTATACTGGGCAGATTTTCAAGAGTCTGTAGTAAGATAATGCTTTCTTTTAAAAGGACATATTTTTAGATACAAAATTTATCTTCATTGTAAAAAATCTGATATATAAAATGTAGGAAGAATATATAAACTAGCTCTAAACTTGTTACCTTGATGTAGATACATATCTATGATGTAGATACATATTTTTAAAAGGACAATTAAAAAAATTTAAAATAACCTTTGGTTTTAAAAGAATATATATAACTGTTGTAGTGTATTGAGAAAATGATAATTAACTCACAGAAGAAAATTCAAAACATTCCTAATCCTTCCTCTACCCAGAGAGAACCATTGTTAAAATGTTGATGTTAATTCTCACAGATTAAAATAACATGAAAAAATAGATATCACAGATGCACCAAAGTCAATATACACACTTTTAACAGCTTATAGAGGTATAATTGACATAAAATAAACTGTAGATACTTAAAGTGTACAACTTGCTAGAGTTTGACACACATATATATATATATATATATACACATCTTGAAATCATCACCAAAATTGAGATAATGAACATATTCATCACCTCTCAAAGTCTCCTCATGCCCCTTTGTATTTTGTAATACCTCTTTTCTGCCTCTCTCTGCTTTACCTCATCCCAGGCATCCACTGATCTGCTTTTCTTCACTGAATAGATTAGTTTGCATTTTCTAGAATTTCATGTAAATGGAATCAGTATGTATACCTTTTTGCCTGATTTCTTTCATTCAGCATAATTAGAGATCCGTTCAAAATTGTAGTGTGTATCAATAGTTTTCATTGCTGAGTAGTATCCCATTGCTGAGGACATACCACCGTTTGTTTATCCTTTTACCCACTGATGAACATTTTGATTGTTTACGGTTTTGGGCTATTAAAATAATGCTGTTATGGACGTTCCTTTGCAAGTCTTTGTGTGGTTATATGCTCTCTTTACTCTTGGGTAAATACTTTGTGTGGAAAGGCTGGATCATATATGACACATGAATCTTTAACTTTTTAAGGAATTTCAAATTGTTTTTCAAAGTGGTTGTACCATTTTACATTCCAGCCAGCAGTGTGTGAGAGTTCAAGTTCCTTCACATCCTTGCTAACACTTGCTGTTGTCATTTTTAAAATTTTTATTTTATTGTATTTATTTTAAAATTTTTGTTGGAGTGTAGTTGATTTACAACGTTGTGTTAGTTTCAGTTGTCATTTAATTTTAAAGTTTAAATTTTAGCCATTCTAGTAGGTGTATACTGGTATTTCATTGTATTTTTAATTTGCATTTCCATAATAATTAATGATGCTGAGTATATTTTCACATACTTCTTTGCCAACCATATGTCTTAGGTGAAGTGTATGTTCAAACCTTTTTCTCATTTATTTATTGGGTCATTTTTTTCTTATGGTTGTTTAATTTCTTATGATTAATATCTGGGTCTTTGATATTAATACTGCTTTTGTTCAGGTCTTTATATTATCTGTATGTTACCTTCTCTATATTACTTTCTTATATTTCTGTGCACAAGTCAAATTACCTTTCTAGGTCAGTTTCCTCAGTTGTAAATTTAGGATCCTACTTACCACTAGTGAGTGGCTGAAAAGATTAAATAAGAGAATGTATGCAGAGGACTTATCACAGTGCTTGACACAGAATAAGCACTCAAAATATTCTTTCATAGTTTTTATTGGATAATTTCTATTTCATTATTCAAAATCAATATATTATTGAGCAAGCAATGATGTTTATTATTACATTTGGCAAGACTTCCATATCTTATAAAAAATGCTGACGTGTATTATATTGTTGCTATCATGTATGGGTAGTGAGGTAGAAATTCTTTTATTATATGAACATATCAAACTTGTAGCTTTGTAGTAAGCTCCCTGGTTTCAAATGAGCTTCGTAAAGTGTAGCATACATAAAGATGGATACCTCAGATCTAGTTGCCCTCAAACTCTGCTAGTAGAATGTGATTGATATTCACCGAGTGATTTCTCACTAATTTTTGCTTCTCTAGACCCATTTCTGCTTTTATTTTCCTCAAACTTTTTCTACTCCTAAAATGTAGTGCCCTAAAGAGAGGTTATGAAAATGATTCTTTAGAGTAGTTTTAAATGCCAACTGCTGCTACTAGTGTTTTAGGAGAAATGATGCTCTTCATATAAATGCTTATCCCCAAGGTAATAAAAAGCATAGATATAAAACAAATACATGAGATGTAATGCAAAACAGTGCCATAAAATAAAATGCACATTTAAATATCCCATGTTAACTTGTCAAAAATGTTTCTTTTTCCCATTACAGAGTTTGTCATATATTTTGTTAGACTTTGAAAATGTGAGGATCTGGTAGGTGTTATTTGTATCTTATGGGCATTTTGATTTCTAGTATTCACAGTAAAACTAATGTCATTCTACCAAAAATACGAACCTAGACCTTCACCTACCACTCTTCACAGATCATTTCTTCCTCAGTTTTAATGGCTTCTTCTATTCCTTGTAAGTCTTGTATAACCTCATTCAGAGTTCATCACTAGTTTTTGTTGTTGTTGGCAAAGACTTTGTTTATATTGAGAGTATACCATATCATAATTATAATCATTATTGTAGTTATAATTCCTTATATATAACTGTGTGTATGTGTCCTTAAGGGCAGAACTATCGTCTTATTCATTTTAGAATCCCCAGGCCTAGCACAATGCTTGACTATTTTTAAGAAGCACAAATAAATCCTTTCAGGTGCCAAAATAGAAGTGGATAGAAATTCTTATTTCATATAACATACCAGCTGGGCCTAATGTACTTTTATAAAGTATATTAATAGATGGCTTCACTTCAAATTATTTGAGTCTGTCCAGAAAACCTCTGTACTTTGGTTTCAGTCTCCAAATGAATAAAAGTATCCACTCATGTCTTCTTTATAGATATATTGGTTAAATTATTTATTTTATATGCTAAAATGCTTTGCCAGTTGGAAATTAAAAACTATATGAATGTGGATTGTTATTGACTGCCATGTTTTAATTTATGTAATATATAGATCAAATTTTATCATATTATTTTCTTTAAAGCATTTGGTTTTAAATACTAAATATATATATTTTTTAAAAATTTATTTATTTTTATTTTTGGCTACATTGGGTCTTCATTGCTGCATGTGGGCTTTCTCCAGTTGCGGAGAGCAGGGGCTACTCTTGGTTGTGGTGCGTGGGCTTCTCATTGCGGTGGCTTCTCTTGTTGCGGAGCACGGGCTCTAGGTGTGTGGGCCTCAGCAGCCGTGGCTTGCGGGCTCTAGAGCGCAGGCTCAGCAGTTGTGGCACACGGGCCTAGTTGCTCCACGGCATGTGGGATCTTCCCAGACCAGGGCTCACACCCGTGTCCCCTGCATTGGCAGGCAGACTCTCAACCACTGCGCCACCAAGGAAGCCCAATACTAAATATTTTTTAAAAATTACCTACCTTGGAAAATATTTAAACAACACTCTACATTTTTGCATAAAATAGATGGGAATAGAGTCATAATGAGGGAAAGAAAAGATGAAAAGTAACTCCACCCTCATTTGTTTTTACAATGAAGTTACTTTTTCTCATTTCTTTTTATTCTCACTTTTACATTCAAACAAGGTTAGTCACATAAGCAACTCTTCATTTTCACTACTGATCCTGGCCCTTTCTAAAACTGCTTTGCTATGAGGCGCCTGTAATGTGACAAAGCCAGAGTGGAGAGAAGTCCATTGATCCCTAAGGATTATGTACTTGCTGTTAGTAGAGTATTTGAGGGTTTTGAATAGAGAACAATAGAGGAATTTGTCTGAAAAAAGAAAAGTATCCTATATGTATTGCTATTCTGTGTATTATTACTAGGAAATCTCTCAAAATTCCAAAGGGAGTGGTTGGACTCAGCTGTGGAGCCCTTTCTGGCCTCACCCTGGGATCCAGTCAAAACTGGGAAACCTTCTGGGTCATCTGATAAATGAGCCAGAACTAAACTCTCAAGTGCAGTTTCATGCTGCCTCTGAAACTGGAAGAGGTCTAGCAAACTGTTTTATTCATTCATTTTATTCATCTAGGGTCAGAGGTGCAAGGTGAGGTAGCTCTTACTTTACTTTGCGTGAAGTGTCTGGCAAGCCTCAAACTTTTAGACTCCTAAAACTACACCAGTATTCCAGCCACTGGTTGGAATACTTCCACCTTCTTACCTGAGTATCCAGAGTCCTTCTTTGCTCACCAGATCTGATTAGCTTAGTGCCATCATTCTAACATGATGTCCTGTGGAATGTTCAGATGAGCCAGCTGTCTTTGGACTTACTGTGACAGAGAGCAGGCAATTGAGCATATCTCTGGAGCAAAGAATGGGAACACACACTGCTGCCTGTCCTAGGTGGATGTGAACTACCTCAGATGCTCCTTCCTGATGGATATTGAAAATAATATATACACTAAGCTCAAAAGTCACATACCATGAACTAGAGGCTTAGTCGGTCTGTTTTAGTAAAGATAACATACCTAGAACAACAACTTCAGTTGGGGCTACTGCTTGGGTAAGTACACTATGCTCCATTT